CTAATGCAGTAGCGTTAAAATTATACAAATTTGAAAGAAAGCTTTGTATATTATAAGCATTTACACGAGCTTACATGTTTGTTCTGAATTTTGTATATAACTATCTGACTCATAATTATCGCTTTTCATACTATCAGCATATTCCATACTGTCTTCTGTTAACGTGTCTGAACTAATCGTGCTGGTAATAGACTCCGATTGAAGCTCTAAATAACTCATATTTACAATTGTGTAACAACCTTATTCGCGTAGAGGTATATTTGTATTACATTATCACGTACTAAATTCCTTTTTTAATTGGTTTCAGCACACTATACAAGGCGCACGTACATACTGTACGTACATACGTTCATAAGTATAAATTATCACAATTTGGCAGGAAGTATTGGTTCCTTGCGTTACATAAAAGGCTAGAATACTATTCAGAAATAAATTAATATTGTAATAGCTTTTATTCAATCTTAGTACACCATATATGTAACATATATTGTTACGATTAAAAATTCATGTCTAATATAAATGCAATTGGTATGTTTGTCAATGGGAAACTTTTATTTTTAAGCTTGAAATCGGCGTGATGCCTCTAAATTAAGTTCTTAGATTCTAGAAGCTTATTGTCAGCGTAACCTAAAAAAGGAATTATCACAATAACTAATAGTCAAATGCATTGTTAGAATTTCCTTTTTTAGATTTCACCGACAACACTAAATGTATACAGGCAACAAGTATTTGAAAAGAAAATTATGGCATCTCTAGCTTGAGGTAAATTTTTAATGTATGTTCATATTAGGGCAGCATTTATATTAGGATTGATGTAAGTGGGATATATTTGCTCAATGAAGCGTTTTTTCTTAGAATGAACGTTTGTTTTGAATTTCCCAATCACTTAGAGTTCATTTGATCCTTTCAAGTTTACTTTCTAACCCGTTTAGGATGTTATTTAAATTCATAAACAATCGCGCGCAAACACGTATGCACAATAATAAAATTTTTATTTACAACTTTGACTTTATTCCAATGTATAAACAAAGAAATAAAATTACGTAATAGACATATCGTTTGATCAACTTATTATGTGAGTATGTACATGTTCGGGATGAGCTAATTAGTAAAGTGATTTTATCATTGTGCGTAGTAAAGTAGTACGATAATGTAAGGTAATATGGACTTTCAGAAAAGAAAATTCCGTCTAACCGTACGTACGTACTTAGGTATACGATGATCGTATAATTTACATAAGCACAAATAGAGTCAAGAAAAACAGCAAGTTGTATTGCCTTTCACCTTGATAAGTAGCAGAAATTCTAAGAACAGTTAGAGACAGTGCAAATTCACATGATTCTTAGAGGTGAAGACCATACAAGATAAAGATCCTCGCTGAACCACGTATCGATTCGAAAACAAGTTCACTACAGAACTATTTTAGATAAACAGTATCAAAAAAGTAGAGATATGTATGTCACAGAAACGTGGTTTAATGCGTTGTTAAAAGCCAGAAATCAGTTTTCTTTCATAAAGTATGTGACAAAAATTTACAAAACAGACTGTGTGACTAATAAAGCAGCAAATATAACCTAGTAACTTAAATAAATAAATGAATAAGTAGCTGCGCAACGCAGTTACGCGAATCCAGGAATGGGAATGTATACTAGACTTACTAGATTGGTATATTATGTTGCTGGATATTATAAAAATCGTAGACTCGAGAAAAAATTGTTCATTGTCTAAATACATATTAGATAACATTCAAGAATAAATCATATTAAGAACCGCTGAAATGTGATATAAAAATGAGCATTAATGTCTATTTGCTAGAATGTGTCGATGAAATGGTGCGAAGTGAAGCTGAAAAACGCAGAAAAATTACACATCTGTGATAACTGTGTTATTTGAATTTATAGGTTTAGAAAATTCAACAAAATAGATTTAACAAAAATAATACTAAATTAAATAGCTTTTAATTCACATAAAATTATACAGTATAGACTTTTAAAATCATACCAATACTTACATAGGTGCAGGTGAAAAATACTGACTAATGCAGTAGCGTTAAAATTATACAAATTTGAAAGAAAGCTTTGTATATTATAAGCATTTACACGAGCTTACATGAGTGTTTGACAAATTAAATCTCAATAAATTAGATTATGGGCCTATAGAAATGAAAATATTTAAACAGGCCTTAAATAATATGCATTTTTGCCAACTAATAATTGCAAAAAAATTTAAGCTATTATTTATATTTTAGAAATTCTATTTTAACTCGGTATATTTTATTTTAACTATTCTAAACTTTCTGTATTGAAATAGAATTCTTTAATTAAAATCTATAAAAATATGAAAAAAAGTTAACATATACTATAATATATATATTTTTTTATTTAAAAAAAAAGGAAAGTATAAAAAAATTTCGAAAAACTTTCTTAAAAAATCAATAAATCAGACTAATTAACTTTAATAATACCGTACGAAAATTTAGAAAATTTATTAAATTATTTGAAAAAAATAATAAATCACAATACTTATTGACTAATTTTAGGTTTACTGAAATTAATTATAATGTTATTTTTATTTAAAGTTAAATTACTTATAATGGAATATCTATTTCATTGAATAGCAGATACAGAAGATTGCATAATTTTCAAAAATATAACGAGAAACCCTTTTCAGTAAAAAATATTAGATTACTATGCTCTTCTTTAAATATAAATTCGAAATCTTTATTAAAATATAATAAATTGTTACTTAAAAGAACAAAATTAATCTAATTTTTTTTTTTAAAAAAAAATCTTTTCAGAAAAATGATTTTACCGACCCGTAATTCTATGAAATCAACATTTACAAAAGTTTAGAACCGGTTTAATCGGTTTTATCATATGAAAGTAAATCTAATTTCAGTTCTAATTATTTAGCGTATCGCATTAATTAATGAAAAAAGATCAAGAGATTCAATGCTATCTAACGGTTGGCTACCAACAACAATTTTTGAAAGTTTTTCTGTAATTTCGCGCGTGTTGATGAGCTTTGAAGTATACATGTGGTCCGAATGTTTTTGTCC